GTTGTGCAACATACATTGTATTTGCCTTGTAAATTCTTCATGCGATAATCCATTTCTTAACCGTCGGAAAGATTTTTGGTAATATGAGACAACCGTGACTGAGGCATTAGTTTCTTGTTGAAATTGTAATAAATTGGACACAAAATGACTCAAATTTACATTATCTCTGACACATCCAATCGGAGAGCATATGAGGTGTTTCAGGCCTGTTTTTTTAAAGTGTTGAGTTAGGTCTTGAAAAGCAGCATCGTAATCTTGTTGAGTTGGTTTGCCAAAATATCTTTCCTTGGTGATCAAACTGTATACTGAAGCACCATTTTCCTTGTTCTGTATTGCCAGGTGGTTGGTAATGCATTGTGAAACTGTTGGTTTACCAAACTGTGATTTAAATACTACTGCCACCCCTGCAGACATATGGCGTGGATCATTGAAATCACTAGAAATACTGTGTGCAAATCCAACACTGCTATCGTTCTTGTGTTGCTTGATCACCCTTTCCATGTGAGTTTCTATTACATTTATTGTATTATTTGAGTTAGGTAACAAAAATTCTTGCTTTTCATCATGTGGTATTAACTTTCCATCAACAGTGCTTTGAGCAAAATCAATGATCATGTAAGCCAGCCTTTTTTTACCTCTGTAGTTTAAATGCATTCCATGCCGTGAAAAATCATCTCTTTGGAAACATTCAAAATCAATGAGTTTAACATTAACCAGTCTTGCAGAAATTTCTCTGATATAGTTATTTGCCAATGCTATATCATAATGAATGTTGTCATTGGGCTGCAGATCGAATCTGGGAGGGATAGTTGTTATACAAACTGGTCTTGAATCACATAAAAGTTTAATTTTACTTTCCATTTCTCTGTAAATTACTTCTGAGGACTTTTTCATATCATTTGTCCCTACTATCAAAATAAGGGGTTTTTGGCTGGATTTTTCCGCTTGACTGTAAATATGTTTAATGTCAGCTCCAGACTTGACCAAACCACTTACATAAACTTTGTTTCCACTGCACAAGCCAACAATCTCGGGGACTCCTTTTCCTTGACTATCTGCATATAGTTCAACTCTGACTGGATTTTCGAGTGGGGAAACCTTCATACCCAGGTTTACTTTTTTCTTCTTTTTTAACCTATTTTTGATGGAGTGTGTATTTTTATGTTCCACAGCTTGCATTTTGTGATCCTCCTCTGAAAGTAAACTGAAACTGTTTTTCAAAGGTAGATTAAAACATTGATTTTCCATAGGTAATTTGCCCTTAACTTTTTTTGGAATTTCCCATTTTTCATCTGTTGTTTGGCACTGTTTGTCATGATACGTATATAGCTCATTTGCCCGAGAAAATTTGGTGTTGCTTTTCAATGAATCTGGTTCCGGCAAAGGCAGCCGAAACATCATGTCGAAGATGTCTTCAGGTGATAATTGGTGAAAAGTTTTCCACATGGCTGCTAACTGAGCTCTCTTTGTTACAATGCTAGCCTGTTTGATTGAAAAGGGAATTTCACTGTTTGCTGTTTCTAACATATCTAGAGTATTATGTTTTATCATCTGAACAACAATATCAGTAAATATTTTTATACACTCGATTATAAAAACAATATAAAGTATACCCAACACTCAAATCAGGAAAATCCGTCAAGTCGTTGATTAAGAATCGTGAATTAAAATAACCCTGTTCCGTTTTATTATATGTATTATATCTTCTCCTATTATTTACTAGAGGTGCATAGGTGTACAATCTAAAAACTGTTTTAAAACATGTAACATTATTACTAAAAAAATTCAACACATTTTAGAATTAGGCAACTATTTACTAGTAGGCCTACAATGCTTTGGTTTAAACTATTAGGCATAGATTTAGGCTAAGCTATTCTATAATTGATATGACTATGTCATATTTTTTTACACGTAAGTTGGAAGATTCAACGACGAACATTTAATTTTAAATCTATGAATTAGTTATGAAAGTTACAATGGTTGATTACTGTATCAATTGATAGTTTTGATTTATTACGACATTGCGATTAAATTTGTTTTCCGTGTTTGAGAACTTGCGTGTATTTTAGCTTAATTTCGTAGATGTTTAATTATTTAGGACCAATTAAACTAAATTTTCAATATTTTTCATATTCTATTATTTTTTTATACTGATAGCATTTATGTTTAAGATCGAAATCATAAACATTTAATTGACCATTGTACAGTTCAATTAAAAATGACTTTTTCATGATTTTTTTATTGTCTTTTAATTACTTTGGGCTAGTTATCTGTTGAAAGTGGAATTGATAACAAAAAACAATAACATTTACTGTATCTTCATTGACACTGACATTTTGAAATACGGCAGTGTACGATTATTTCGTCGTACAAGGTTGGCAACGCTCCCTGCAGTCGGCGCGGCAGGGTTAGCGACTTCCAGAGTTAGCGAATTCCGCCGCGAGACAAAATCGAGTTAGCGGGTTCCGGAGTTAGCCAATTCCTGACTGAGACGGTTAGCCAGTTCCAGAGTTAGCCAGTTCCGACACACGACCGAGTTAGCGAGTTCCTGAGTTAGCCAATTCCTACGTCTCTTATTTTTCAGTCAAGTGCATTGGAACATGAATCTCGACTGGTGTATTTCATAACAATTGTAACAGAAAGAACTGAGAGAAAAACTGTTTCTGAAGAAGTAACAGTGACAAAAAAACACACCTTCACATGCTCTCTTCAGCAGCTACAAGAACTTGTCATGAAGTTGAGGGATGCGACAAGACTGATGCAATCAATAGCCAATTACAAATAAATAAGAATAAAAAAATAGGCCTATATTCATTGGCCATTAGCTAATTTCCTCGAAGGAAAGTAGCTGTTTATATACAGTACTTGTAAATATTACCTTTGTAAATAAATATATTGATATTTGTTTTGTACACAATTTACATTAAGTTAAAAGAATAATAAATGAATATTATTACTTAAGCTATGGTTTCTGAATTAAATAACACTCATCATTCGTAGAAACTTCATTTTAGATTGAATATTGGTTTGACCTTATCAAACGTTGACAAGGTTGGCAAAGTTCAATAAAAAATGTTGATGAACATCTTGTTGGAGAGTAGTTAATCTAACAGGACTATTGGTTCTTAATTTCCGGAGCGATGGTGTAACGTTGGAATGATTAATTCATAAAAATCAAGACCAAGACCAATTTTAAGTTTAATAAGTCCTTGTTAGGGATGTGTCAAATCCAAATCTCGAATCCTAAGAAAAGATTCGGATTTGAGATTTGATTAACGAGATTAAAAAATATAATGTTTTTTTAGAATAGAATTGTAAGGCATACTGTCACATTGCCTAAACATACGAGGTTATTGACATAGTAATATACAGTACTGTGACATTGCCTGACCATAAAGGTTAAATTGACGTTGTAATATACAGTACTGAGACATTGACTAACCATAGAGGTTATTGTTGTCGTGGTGGTTGTAAGTGTTAAATGGTTCCTATTCCATTCTTGCTTTTTTAATCACTATAAGCTCTTTTGTAACTATTTTTGGGACTTTTGATTATTTTAGGATTCAGATTCGAGATTCTTGGATTCGACCATCACTAGTCCTTATAAAAGTAATATGTGATCATAGACAAAAAGAATTAAATAAAGACTGACAGCCGTGCTGTGGTTACCATAGGTTCTGGCGCACACCGCTGGCCGCGCCGTATAGTTAAGTGGCGCGTAGGCCGTAACTACATGGCATTCCCAGTGGTGTGTGCCAGAACCTATGGTAACCGCAGCACAGGTGACGGTCTATATTTAGAAGAAGAAATATTCAAAATTGAATCCACCGTCGATATTGATTCTCGCCATTATATATTTGTGTTTAAATAAAAAAAAGGTTAATTACAGAGAATTACAAAACGTTATGAACATCTCTTTGTGACCAGTGGCAGTGGTCTACGAGGACTCTGTGACGGAGTCCTTCCATTTTCAAGACTATAGTAAAAATAATAATAATAAATATAAATATGACTTTTATTCCTGCATTTGAATGTACATAAACATTAGCAATGTTTTTTGACAGGTAAAAATTGACGCATCATGTTTTTGCAACAGATAGCCTAGTACACAGGGATTCACTCCCATATAAGCTGCATTAAAAAAATGACCTATCACAGCGCTGGGTGAAGCTCTAATGCAATAGATATACAGCGTTTGGGACTCCGTTTAAACAGTAGCTTTAACTATTGCTACAACAAGCGCTGAGCACTAAGATCTGTTGACTGCCACACAATATTATCTGTCGAATAAGAGAAGGCAGTATTTAGTGATTCGTAGAGGTTATGTTTGTCATGCACCAGTAATTTAGGTGTTGATTAATTAGTAGCCTATACCATCGCTTCTCTAGAAGTGTTGTGCATTGAAGCTAATAAATTATGAACTAAAAAAATATTTCTGCAAAGTATGCAAGCTCCGAGGACAATTAGTTATGAACAAAGAGTTAATTACAATTACAGATGTGCCTATGAATAAAACAATTTATATGAAAAAGGCCTACCAGGTGCCTGTGAATAAAAGTTTATTTATGTAAAAAAGGACTAAACCGTTGACCATATACCATAATTAAAGTTGAAATAACTCATTTTTTTCAACTTATAACTTTTCTCTGGTATCAGTTACCTACCAAAAAATTGATGCTTCCTCCCACTACTTTAACCCGCCAGCCGCCACTGTTTGTGACAATATCTGTAAGCTATAAATTCCCAGCAATTAGTATTAATACTTTAAGATTTCTTTCTTTAAAATAACCCCAAAACTATTTGAACCCGAAAAACTGAAATTTAAAATTTTCAACACTAGATTCCATTTTATTCACGGCTTCAATAATTAAAAATCATTTGGATAACATATTAAATTGTGGTAGAAGCTAGTCGCAAATTTGAATATTTCGTTGAAATCCATCCGTCCAAGATTTGACACGTCACCAGGAGGAGGAAGATAGAAAATAAGAAAACGTATATAATTTTATATCAATTTGTGCCATATATTCCGATGTAGCATATGAGTACACCTTATCATCGAGTATTTTATTTACACAAGGCAGTCAACAGTCTGAGTCCGTGCCACTCTCTGACAGTTCCAGATCTGCTTCCAGCAAAGCCGCTGGGGGTACGCTTCCATTAACATGTCCTGAAACACACACAAAACTTGTTTAGATTTGAGTAAATGGAAAAGTACCCAACACTTTTTCCTTGAAAGCATTAACCTTTCCAGGACTATAGGCGGCCCCTAGCATTTTGTGCATAGCGAACGGTAGGTGGATATATCCGATTATCATTTTGGGCTTTGCGGACAGTAGGCGGATATATCTGCCGATATTACGACAGTTATTGTTATGGTTGATTGTCTATAACATCATTATTCTTTGTAAAAACACCCTTTTATTTAATTAGCCTCTATCTTAACAGGGTGTCCATAGCAACGCATGTATTAAAACGGCTGTTTTTGCTGCAGTATGACAAAAAATACCTGCATCCAAAAGTTGAACTATATTGAAACCTCATACAATGTGTACATAATTACAGTTCCATCTCAGATAACTTGCAAATATTACAGAAATGGAAGAAAAGCTATTTAATGTTCACACTTTAAGGTTATGAGATTTATAAGGCAGTACAGTGTGTACAGGGTACCCTAACGTACTGAATGACAAAACAAACAATCAAGGAAATGCAATTCTTCGACACTGTGATGCTCCTGGAAAAGAGTAATGACGCCATTGGGCAAAGTACACCACAGACAACACTCCATCCTGGAGTCGTCGCCCAGAATTAAACATGTGCGTACGCATGATATGGCCACTGCGACCACGTCAATGTTTGTTTAAATTTAATTATATGTATTTATTGTGTGTCATGACAGTTTTATTTAAATGTTGAAGACAAAGCCATAGCGGATTCAACTACAATATGATGTCACGGTGCTGACAAAACGCGTAGTAGTAGTCTACAATAATTGGAACACCAGAAGGTAAAATTATCACTAACAAAAAAGTGTTATTGCCAAAACATAATAATAGTGAGTGTACCATTAGTGAGCCTCTGCTTAGAGTCGTTGTGTGCCGGGGGAGAGTCGCTGTCACTATCAGATGAGTCACCGTCACTGGAGGAATTGCTGGAGGAGCTCGCAGACAACACACCCACTCTGGATACTGCTGAGTCCTGGTAACAACCAATCAAACGTCAAAGAGAGAAGAACAACCAACAAAGTATCCTTACTATACAGTTTAACAAGAAAGTTCTTATGTAAGGAAGCCTAGAAAAACAACAGCGAGATGGTAACTAACTAAGTTTTGGTGAAATTTCTCAACACTCAAAACTTGTAACCCTAATTACTCAAGGGAAAATAAACAAAAATTAGATGGAAGACAGTTGCAAGATTACTCACATGACTTACTTGTTTTGTTTTGACTTCTCACAAGAACTAACAAAATAGTTTGAGAGTGCTTTAAATTTAGATCACCATCAAATAATGTAGTGGGGCAGATTGTCTGTGTTATTAATTTAATTTGTGAATTATCCTAACATCAAACAAATTTAGTTCTGTTTATTTTTAAGGCCATGGTTGATGTTTACTACGCAATTAACTTATTTTGTAGAGAGAAAGGCATTATAAATTAACGATGTTTATATCCAAGACTTCACTAATGAACATAGATGAAGATACAGTAGATACAATTGACTGAAGATTTTTTACCATCAATTTAAAAAGATATACAAGAGTAGCAAATAAAAAAAATTAAAAAAATATAAAACAATAATAATGACAAATAGAAGTTTTTACAAATGTTTAGTGGTTAAGAATTTCAGCCAAGTTTACTTTCAAGATAATATACCAATTTTCACAATAATTTCATAAATAAAATATTGATTATATTCTTTCAAGATTATATTCTTATCCAGACTAGTAATATCACAAAAATCCAGATTTTGTCCATACAGGAACATACCTCTTCAGGCTCATGCAGTTGATTGTTGTAGTAGGGAGATTCCCGCAACGCCTCTGATAGGTTGGGGGATGAGAAAGCATTGTCCAGTGGGTCTTCTAAGCCTATCATCGGAAGACTACCAGCAGCTACTGGTGAAAGACTGCAACATTTAAGAGGTTAAACTTCAATAAGCCTCCGTGAGATACTTTAACAATGTATAAAAAAAAACACGTTTTGGCTGCATGGTTTCTATACTCTTTGTCGAACGGTAAGTTGCTGTTTACCAAAAGGGACCAATTAAGTCTGCTGGAGTACAGTTAAGTCAGCTGGAGGTTGGTGAATTTACCCATCACTTGTACTTTGGCTGTACTTTTTTAAAATGGCAAACTTCTCAACAAAGCTACACAATAAATGAAAATTAGACACATAGCACTTTCACAAGTAAAAAATGTAAAGGTTTCAAAATGATACCATGTTGCATTAGTCTAATATCTATACTATAATATGAGTCATTTTTGAGCACAATGATTTCATAAACGGCTCCTAAGATTTCCTCCAAATTGTTATAAATATCTTAGTTTTAGGCTAAAAACAATATCCATGCTAGGCTCTGTTCTGGGAAACTGTTTTTCGTTAAAAACTTGAAATGAAATTTTAATATTTTTAACATTAGTCTTATGGACTGTCAAGTAGCTATGGCAGTTTTACTAAAATGTAAACAAATTAATTATAACAAATCATCTACATACGTACAGTAGCAAATTACAAAATGAAGTACAAATGAAAAAGACATTCCTATGAATGCTATCAAGCATTAATTATATAAAATAAATTTGGAGTATATGATGTATTACTAACCAAAGGGATAGTTACGACTGTTAAAAAACTTTAAGCTTTTACCGTAAAACACTACCGAACTAAAAGTCTAGAGGAAAGGCCAAGGGCATTTTGTATTTTTCGAAGATGCTGGAATTGATGCGTTGTTCCACTATCCTGTAATTAGTTGCGACGGTCCGCGGTCCCAGTAACTAACAAAATAACGGTCAAAAGATGTTATGTATCATAAGTTTTTTTGGAGTTTATTATAATAATTTTCAATATAGATTGCTTGTCCACATGAAAAAAGTTTGTTATGTAGGCCTAAATAAAAATTAGTGAAAATCTACCGAAAACTAAATGACTTTACAGCTTAATTAATCGTAGCAAAACTGAAAATATATGTAGGATTATAGGTTTAATTTTTTTAACCTCTTGAATAAATCAAACACTTCGAGCAATACTCGGTCTCCTGGTGTTTTTATTTATTTCATGTTATGGATTCAGGTTGAATTTTACTTATACCGGTAGGCCTATTGAGACGTAGGAATTGGCTAACTCAGGAACTCGCTAACTCGGTCGTGTGGCGGAACTGGCTAACTCTGGAACTGGCTAACCGTCTCAGTCAGGAATTGGCTAACTCCGGAACCCGCTAACTCGATTTTGTCTCGCAGTGGAATTCGCTAACTCTGGAAGTCGCTAACCCGGCCGCGCCCACTGCTCGGAGCGTTGCCAACCTTGTACGACAAAATAATCGTACACTGCCGTATTTCAAAATGTCAATGTCTATAAAGATACAGTAAATGTTATTGTTTTTTGTTATCAATTCCACTTTTAACAGATAACTAGCCCAAAGTAATTAAAAGACAATTAAAAAATCATGAAAAAGTGTTTTTTATTAAACTGTACAATGGCCAGTTAAATGTTTATGATTTCAATCTTAAATATAAATGCCATCAGTATAAAAGAAAATAATAGAATATGAAAAATATTCAAAATTTAGTTTAATTGGTAACAAATAATTAAACCTCTACGAAATTAAGCTAAAATACACGCAAGTTCTTAAACACGGAAAACAGATTTAATTGTAATGTCGTAATAAACCAAAACCATTAATTAATACAGTCATCAACCATCGTAACTTGCATAATTAATTCATAGATTTTAAATTAAATGTTCGTCTTTGAATCGTCCAACTTACGTATACACATACAGGGTGAGTTTAAAATGCCCCCCCCCAACTTTTTTCTTCATTTTTTCAAATATCAATCCCAGACCACTTCCAAACATTGTTGGGTAGTAAGTACTTCATTTTGACAAGGTGGTCATTTCTGGCCGCCATCTTGGATCCAAAATATATCTTGGATATTGGATGCAAAATATTTTTTTCAAATGTAAAGGTGGGGTTGTGACCCATTATTTTGAACTAGATTTTTACCCTGATTACAATGCCACAAACCGTTTTAAAAAATATTGATTCATTCCAAAGTTATGAGGGCTTTTTAAAACTTCATTTTTAGCCCATTTTAACATTGTACATTTACAAACTAAGGACCATAATCTCAAAATAGTGCTAGATAAAGACAAGTATACACTACCAGTCATTGTCGACTTATTTTCACTTGGTTATGACTGATGTAATTTTTTCGGCCGCCATCTTGGATCCGCCATTTTGAAATATGATAAATTATTTTAAATATGAAGGGGGTATTGTGACCCATCATTTCGGATAACTTTTTTAAGCTGAACTCAATTCCATGATCCGTTTTTCATTTTCATATTTTGATTTTGAGATATTCACATTTTTAACAAAAAAAATGCAATATCTCATAAATAAAACTTGATAACAAAAAAATGATTGCGGCATTGAGTTTAGCTTAAAAAAGTATTTCAAAATGATAGGTCACAACACACCCTTCATATGTAAAAATAATATATCACATTTCAAAATGGCGGATCCAAGATGGCGGCCGAAAAAAATACATCAATCATAACAAAGAGAAAATATGTTGACAATGACTGGTAGTGTATACTTATCTTTATCTAGCACTATTTTGAGATTATGGTATTAGTTTGTAAATGCACAATGTTAAAATGGGCTGAAAATGAAGTTTTAAAAAGCCCTCATAACTTTTGAATGAATCAAGATTTTTTAAAACGGTTTGTGGCATTGTAATCAGGGTAAAAATCTAATTTGAAATAATGGGTCACAACCCCACCTTTACTTTTGAAAAAAAATATTTTGCATCCAATATGGTGGATCCAAGATGGCGGCCGGAAATGACCACCTTGTCAAAATGAAGTACTTACTACCCAACAATGTTTGGAAGTAGTCTGGTATTGATATTTAAAAAAATGTAGAAAAAAGTTGGGGGGGGGGGACAATTACAACTCACCCTGTATGATGACATAGACTAAGTTTTTATCTAGGCCTAATAGTTTGAACCAAAGCATTGTAGGCCTACTAGTAAATAGTTGCCTAATTCTAAAATGTGTTGAATTTTTTAGCAATAATGTTACATGTTTTAAAACAGTTTTTAGATTGTACACCTAAGCACCACTAGTAAAAAATAGGAGAAGATATAATATTCATATAATAAAACGTGACAGGGTTATTTTAATTCACGATTTTTAATAAACTAATTGACGGATTTTCCTGATTTGAGTGTTGGGTTTCCTTTATATTGCTTTCACAAACGATATAAACTATACCAAGCCATTGCTCGGTTCACCGTTCCCCAGTACTGAGCTACACAATAGACAATAGCTTTGTTTTTGGATAAGACAGAACCATCCTGGAAAAAAACTCCAGACTTTTAAAAAGTAAGCCTACTGAAAGACGTAAAATTAATATTAATTCAACAAAATTAAGAGGATGACCCGGGTTCTACACTAATAGCCTACGATAAAAGAAATTTACAAGTTGTATTTATGCATAGACTAACTTTTAATGCAATCCATGAATACATTAGGCCTACCACTTTATAATGTATTGATAAATATTTATTTAAATTCAATAGCTCTATTTAAAAATACATAACCACTACAATGTAATTCTGTAATGACGTTTAACGTGTAAATTTTATTATGATTTATGATTTAAGGTTACTACAAGCCCAGTATATAAAATACGAACTCAAAAATTTTATTTGCAGAAGTTCACAAAATGGTATTTATTCGAATAAAAGAAACAAATGGCGGACTACGAAAATAGATATTTCATAACATGTAATAGATCCAAATTAAATGTGCATTTTTATCTTTTTCATACCAATAAGCTACTATTTAAGTAAGAAACCCACATATAAAACATACTCCCTTATATTAGTACATTTCTCATCCTTATGGATGATCTGAAGACAGTTGTATTGTTAGTTCTGTCCGGTGCACTGTCTTTAGAGGTCGTGTTTTGTTTACAATTGTTTCTTGTGTTCAGTAATTTAAAACCTCGTTTAACCAAATAAAACGTTCTAATCACAACTAATAACACGTCCCCTAGTTATAAAACCAAACAGTAAGGAACAAATCATGAAGTTAACTATAAAATGATAGAAACACAATTTTGTCGACACTAGCGATCAGTGTCACCGGACATGAACTAGACACGAAAAACGAGCTTTAAAGTTTACAATGGGATGTAAAGTTTACTTGTGTTGGTTAGTCTATGGTAAGACCCCCCTAATGCCTTACATACCCCCCCTAATGCCCTAATGCCCTAATGCCTATGCATTTACCACCCTAATAATCATAAGAACTTCTCTGTGGTTAAACATACTTCTAAATATATTTATTTTATCGACTACGTTGCTCTTACTCCTAATTAATCGTAGGATACGACATTATGGTGCCGATACGATATAGGTACTACACTTTCGGCAACACTGGCCAAAAATATTCGTGCTTGGCTCCCATTGGACGGCCCGCGAGGCTTCTGATTGGGAGTTAGCGAGTTCCGCCGAGGGACCGAGTTAGCGACTTCCGTACGAGGACGGAATTCGCTAACCCGGCTCTAGAGCGGGTTCCGGAGTTAGCCAATTCCGAAACCGAACAAGTTAGCGAGTTCCTCTCATCGACCAAATTTGAAGATAGGGCATTTAACATGGGGTTAGCGAGTTCCAGAGTTAGCCAATTCTGCGGACCCGGCCTATTGCATCTGGTGCTGATAGTGTGGCAGTGTATTGTATGCGACTCGTCCAGGAAAGATTCAGTAATGGCATGAAATGCTGTGCTCGGCAGGCATCGCACCATAAACACCTAATTCCAGGCTTTGTAGTGTAATATACTATTTTAACACGTTCGCTGCTACGGACGTTCCGGAACGTTCGCCGGGCCATGGCGCCAGGAGCTAGGAACGTTCCTAAACGTTACCGTTCATTGTTGTTTAACGTTTCCATGGATTAGCCAGCTCGTCACGAGCGTCCTATATTTCTTTGCAGCTCGTGGTGACGTACTTTTCTGACAATAAAAATATTTTTTCCCAAAATCACCACCACTCAGGGTCACTTAGGACAGGGCTTTGTCCCACCTCTTTCCTGCTATATAGCGACACTACTTTACCGACTGCAACCTGGGTAGTGCACTGCTATCTATCAGAATCACTTAGTACTACGTCCAAAGCCAGTTTTATTGCAGAACATTGCCATCCAGTATAACTACTGTTGTTTTTAGTGTAATTCAGTGTATCAGAGGCAATGTTACACAGCGGCGAGCGTTACTTCAGCGCCTGGTGCCGTCCCGGTATCTAGCGGTCAGCAGGGAACATATTAAGCAACTATGTATGCAGGTTAAGTATAAGAAAGGGCCATGGGGCCCTAACTTTGTTGAAATAAAGAATTTTCATTTCATTCATTTACAGTGACATATTTTGTATAGTGTAAATCATGTTCCTGATAGGATATGAATGACTCTTAACCAAATATAAATTTCAGGTGTTATACTTTATACTTTTAATACTTTTCTATGAAATGGCGACCATACAAAGTAGGTATTGTAAGCCAAGTAAGAATGGAGATGAGTGTAGGATGAGTGGCGCGATCTTGTAGTCATGTTAGTGACTAAGGCCGACATATTCCTTAGACACAGCTGTTAATTAATAGCCCATACAGCTAATGGCAACTTAGGGACCTACAGTTTATAGTGGAATCCAAACCACAATTTTGCCTTGGTATATACGAATTGGTATAATTATCAGGATAGTACTGTGGATAGTAGTAGTTACTTACTAGTGCAGACGTTAATCCACACCAGACAGTATCGCATCCACAGTGCATGCCTATAAATATCCACAATTCGTGACCTCCTAGTAGCTGGATTACAGGACGACGCCACCCGTCCCAGTCATACAACATTGGGACATAGCCTAATACAGTAGAACCTTGATAACAAGACTCTCATGGGGATTGTAAAATAGGACTTGTTATCAAGGTTGACTTCTTATGGAGGTTTGTAATAACATGTGATTAAGCGTAAAATAATTTCAAGGGGATTTAAAAATGACACTTGTTATCAAGGGCGACTTGTTATCGAGGGTCTTCTTTTTAAGGTTCCGCTGTAGTATTTTAGGTTAATAGGCCGGTAAGTAGGCGTTTACAGTACAATCTTAATAGTCCCCATAGGAGGTTTGCCAAGCGCAGCATCTCATGCGAGTTCTGTAAACATCTAATACAACCCCATAAGTTACATACAAAATCAACAAAAAAACTGCTAAACCATATAAATTTTTCTATCATTTTGCCCCTTTGAAAACATGGAATAGGATACTATAGCTCGTACTTGTTTTTGAATTTATCAGGCAGCAGATATGAGATTTGGGGTGGAATGTCTAGTACCGTGGTATCAATAGTCAAAGACAGAGGTGAGCTTTTAAACACATCACTTACAAAACCAGTAAGTAGGCCTACAGGAAGTCTTTTAAATTAATTTACATAACATTATTTTATAGTTACCCTAAACTGAAATCATCATTTAGGATATGATAAACAAAATTTATCCATTTAACAACCAACACAGAGCGAGTCTGAAGTGCCAAGCATAACCTTATAATTCCAATCCATCCAAATACGAGCCTGTTAATATCCAAACCAAACGTACACCATCTAAACTGAACCAAGCAAACAATTTTAGGGGTACCGTCTATACACATCTATTAAATATATTTTTCATTCATTTGTCGGAAATTGTGACACAAATTTTTGTATTTGCCTCATTTTAAATGAGTATAAGTTATTGCTCCTGTGAACATTATTTTCATCTTCCGATCACAATCTTTTCGATCATCCTAACTCTTTGTATTCCAATCAGGGAATGGCCCCATTTGTCCCATGAGGGGTTCAACTGTATCTTGTAAGAAAAAGCAACACAAATCTAGTAAATTTTTCACAAAAGCTAAATTTTTCAATTAAAAATATAAAAACAATCCAGTAATAAATTATTTATCCTTCAAAGATAACAAAAAAATAAAAATAAATAAACTAGGCCCATAGTAAAAAGTATTAAAAAAGTCTCTTCTTCAAAAACTTGAGGCGAGATTGTGGTGGCCTAGGCCTACTATACCTCAAACTGGAGACCTGGGGGCTCTTGTTGCTGTATGAAGGTGAGGCGGGGAGGGGGGAGTGCTTGGGCAGAGGCACGCCTAGACCTCGCGGCGCCTTGTGGCTCGACTGCTGTGGAGGCGAGGGCTTCTTTTCCATAGGCGCTGCAGCGTTGTGGCTACTGCCCACGCTGTTACTATTCGACTTCTCCATCCTAAACACAACATACAATTTGGATAAAGTATGCTATTAACTTCAAACATGGGATGATTTTTTACAACCTACAGAACTATTGGGCAGGCCTATTCAGAAATAGTTCGGTTTGCCAGGTTTGTTTTAAGGGTAGATACAGTAAACTAAAGATTTGTTATCATTGACACTAATGAAATAAATTTAAAGTTTGTCTAAAGTAAAATATTCTGTTCCTTTAAACTTGTCTTTCAAGTCTGATAAACTTTGAATAATTTATGAAACATTAGGCCTACCTATAAAACAGAACAGACCTCTAAGACTCTAAGATCCTAGTTACAGTGCGGGTAAAGTTTCTGTGCGAGCGACCAGATCTGGTTGGGTCTTGGCGAGGGGGTTGGGGGGGTGGTACTTTTGTGAAAACATTTGTGTCTTGCTACTCACTCACCCCTACCCCCAGCACTGCCAATAGCCGGTACCCGTAAGTTTTAGTTCGGCTAGTAGCGACCTGTCCACGCGCACACAAGTTTTGGCCGTAGGCTACTGTACTGACAGTACCAAGACTGCGATCGGGAAGTTGAAGTTCATATAATAAATTGCTAAACAATTTTAATGTTGCAACTGATTTAAGACATTTTAGAGAAAAACACAAATTAGTAAATATATAGTTTACCTATAGCCTATTGCAACTTTTAAATGCCTCAGTAAAGTTTTGCTTAATGCCTCCAGTAGGTAAATCAATAACAGGATACTCTAGACCTAGACTTCTAGTAATAGTAGGCTGTTTGTTAGAGGGAGTACAGATTATTGACAAAGTTGATTGATATCCTGTAAGCCACTTCCGAATTGAATAACCAACTTTTTCCAATGACAATAGGCCTACTTGTAACTTAATAAATTGTTCACATTATGGTATTTTTATCAAGTTTTGAATCACTATCAGTTTTCATTTCTAACTCTAAAAGATGGGGAAATGAACCTTCTTTGAAAGCAGTTGACTTAACTTAACTTAGGCTAATTAACACGTTCGCTGCTACGGACGTTCCAGAACGTCAGCCGTGCCACGGCGCCAGGAGCTAGGAACGTTCCGGAACGTCACCGTTCATTGTTGTTTAACGTTTCCATGGATCAGCCAGCTCGTCACAAGCGTCTTATAGTTCCTTTCAGCTCATGGGGACGTACTTTTCTGACAATAAAAAATATAGTTTCCCAAAATCACCACCAGGGTTGATAGAACAGGGCTTTGTCAGGGCTCTTTTCTGCTAGATAGCGACACTACTTTACCGACTGCAACCTAGGTAGTGCTGCTATCTATCAGAATCACTTAGTACTATGTCCGAAGCCAGTTTTATTGCAGAACATTGCCCTCCAGTATAACTATTATTGTTTTTACTGTAATTCAGTGTATCGGCGGCAAAGTTACGCAGCGGCGAGCGTTAGTTCAGCTCCTGGCGCCGTCCCGGCATCTAGCGGTCAGCAGCGAACGTGTTAACCACTTCTAGAGCAAAGAATTTCTCAAGTTTTTCATCAAAATACAAACCTAGTCTTCTTGAGTTGAATATTATTTGTCAACTTTTCTAGAGTAATCTCTCCAGTTGTTCGGTCGATGATGAGCACACATTCTCGCTGGTAAGGTCGATGAGACCCTTTGAAAACAGTCTGAGCAGTTCCAGAGCCATTTTGGTGAGGAACAGTAACAGTCACCTGATGATTCGCTCCCACATCCACTGTTGCCCGCTTGCTCTCATCCACACTTGCTGGTTTGAAGTCATCTGAAAGTTTTAGAGCAACTCTACATTCTGTTTCAATAACATAACTTATAAGTTCTAAGCCCAATAATATACTAACTTCAGGCCATGGGACGTCACAGAGAATCACAATAACTTAGGGTAATTTGACTATTACCCTAGTTCATATTTAACATAAAACATTAGGCCTATACCATATTCTGTGAGAAAAAAAAAAAACAAAGTTTAGGGCATCAAAACTCTTAATTTTAAGACTTTTTGGCTAAGGATGAGTGCCAACCAGCATTCAAGTTTTATTTTCAGTGAGATTTTAGATAGGCTACGTAAGTAGGCATATCCACTGTTCAGCTATAGCGGTGGAATTTTGGTTCTAAACAATTTAATCTTTAAAGCCAAGATTTTTTATTGGATCAGACCTAAGCATCTCTAACTAACAATAAAAGTAGTTTGTTAACACAAAACCTATGCTAACTTATAGGCATATTGTTCTATCCATTAGGTCCTGGCCTTAAAGAAATATCTAAGAAAATATAACTTTAAGACTTGTGTAAGTTAGGTATTAAGTGGTTTAAGAGCTATTGATGAAAAAATTAAAAAAGAAAATATACTTACACCTTAAAGTGTGAAATGCAGTTCCTTTACTATTGGTAAAAGTTGGACCTAACTTAAGTTCTCTCACATCTGTACCTAACCCTAATTTATCACCCATCCTTTTGCCATTCATGTAACAGGTTGATTCACCTGTACAGAGATGTCTGGCATGTTAAGTTAAAAGAATTAAGCCACGATTTTACATAATTGGGACCTGGCGTGTTGGATTACTTTCACTATGGAGACTTATGAAATTTGATATAAATACGAACTTAAGTGAACACAGCTTTTTAAATTTTAGACACAATCATTGAAAAATTATAAACACTTGTACAAGAAACCACACTGTTATTTATAAAATTCAAGAGTACAAAAAGAAACTTAGCTGGTTATATTCATTGTTTTTATTTTAACGCTACCTATCCAATCCCCATTCCAAGATCTCTGACTGACTAGAACTTCTGGAATCTGGAATAGATGGGGATTCTGACATCTGGTTATCTGGTTTAACGTTCACGTATTACATTTGGTTTTGGGTTTTGCCAACAAGCCAATGAAAATTATGTTTTTACTGTTCGTCACAAAAGAGTGATTATGTACTATAACGACCACTATACATTTTTATATTTCATTATAACGTATAATTATAATGATTGCATCCATGGTGAGTACGTGAATCAGGGATAAGTTAAACTATTCAAGTGATTCTAAATATTATTAGGTTATCTCTCTAACTATTATTAGGTAATCCACAGAGCTGACGGCTGACACCTCATACCTCATAAATGAACATATTAGAAATATTATCTGTAATGTCAATGTCTAGCCTTACTGTAGCCATGCACGGCCACCTTTAACTCTAGGCCGCGGCCTTCGAAGTGGCAACGTCGCGTCGCAAGTAGAGCTGTTTTTGTTTGGAAGCAGCTAATAATGGTATTGAGAATGAGAATGAGAATGAGAATTTTATTTAGTCTTTTAAACATGCAGTTACATGCAATCAGACAAGTCATATAATAATCATCTGGCATCAGTTAACAGTCCCAGTTAGTAAATTGGGTTGACTTAGCTTAAATCACACACCATGCACAAAAACAGGCAAATATAATAAATAAATAAATAGTTAAATAATGGCAGCTACAATAGTAGAATAAATAGTGCACAAACTACTCTTATCTACTTTCAAAAAACACACCATGCACAAACTACTTCAAACTTCAGGCACAGCAAAAGCATCTACTTACAACAGCTGTAGGAATTTCAAAAAATTCTTTTTCCTACAGTCACCCGACAAAGTTGGCTTCCTTGTACTGTTTATAGTACAGAAAGCTGCTAATTGCTGCATATTTATACTTTGCCGTACGGTTTATACTTTGCCGTACGGTTTATACTTTGCCGCACATCAGGATTCCAACGAAACAACACAAAACAGCGTGGTTCCATTATGTACGTAATCCGTGTACGCTTGGAAATAGGTTGGCAACACTTCAAGATAATTATACTATGAGCAGCTGATTGACTATTATAACTACGATTTAACCCGTCATTTCGTGTTTATAGTTTCGGTATTTCTGAACTTTCTGGACTTTTCTTTTAAACGTTTTTAAAACCTTCCTACGATCTTAATAAACAAGAAAATACCTTTTAAGCATTTTTTTTTAGGCGCAGAAACCACTTCAAATCAGGGCCGGATCTACAAAATATGGGCCCCCCTGCAAAAGTCCTCCAAGGGCCCCTATAGCTGCGTACGGGGCTCCGGGGGGTTTGGGGGGTGTGGAGCACCCCCCAAGAGAAAAGGGGGGGTCCGGGGGTCCCCCCCCTGAAAAATTTCACATTTTTATAGCCGTTTGGTGACTTTCTAAAGCAATTTTTAACGCCTAAAACTGTGTCCAATAATAGTCCAAAAACTCCCATTTCACCTGTTGTTTGTCACGATCAAGTAGACATAAGTAGAGTAGAGTAAAGTATATTTTTAAATAGTTTTTACTAAATTTATTTAATAGATCAGATTTATTATCCTAATGGAACTAGGCCTATATTAAAATATGAATAGATATTGCAAAACATAACAACTAATCCTCTATTGTGGTTTCTATTTCATAATTTAACTTGCACTTTTTAAACCTAGTTTTAATTTTTAGTTTTAATCTAATTTCTAGAAAATCCTTTTCTGCTCTTGCATGACTTTTGAGATTGGGTTATAAACTAAATCAGGTTTTGGCGGGCCTAGCTAGCAGTTTTAACTCAACTCTCTATTCAAAACTTACAACCTCACCACTAGCATACTTCGTAGAAATGTTTTTCACCTAATTCATTGTTCATTAATTCGCACTTAACTACACTTATAACGAAAAGAAACAGAGGTACAGGTACAACTGTGTATATTAATTAATTATTTAATTTAACAACTATAGAATACAGGCGGCACGGCGCGATAAACATAACCTCACAAAACTACAGTAGTATTCACTATTTTGACTGATCTCTAAATAATTGCGTTGACAGATTGAGATCGCTCGCTGCACCCAGCGCTTGTCGTGGCAATAGTTTAAACTACTGTTTGGACGGAGTCCCAAACGCCTTCGAATTAGGTCATTAGATAACGCTACAAAGATTGTACAAGTAAGTACCACGACAGACTTATGACTTATTGTTCAGCTCAACTGTGAGAGTGAGTGCTAGTGCTAGTTGACACTTCGTCGTCCACGTCGCTCGGTCCGGTCCGATCGGACTGTAGTGGATCTGTGAAGCTCGCCATATGCAGCTGACGTGCTGACTGGACTGAGCTGACTGAGGATGGACTGAAGTGGCGAGATTGAACTGTCTAGCTAGGGCGAGGTCCCGAGTTGTCGACGAGTAAAATCACAAGTCTAAATTTACTTAATAATTCTAACTTTAGCTTTTTTTTTTTTGATGTTGACAATATTTATTTGTCTGTCAAAACTAAACTTGCCGTCCTATTCAATTATGTTTATATGCATTAAAATAATTTTAATTTTTACGAGCTCTTTGGGCCCCCTAAGGGCTTGGGCCCCCCCGCATTGCGGGGTTTCGCGGTTCCTAGATCCGGCCCTGCTTCAAATTACAAAAACATACGGAACTATATTATCAAAACGCGGAGCACATTTCTTGCCGAGGAAAAATAGCGGAGTGATATGGACCACGGGTACTACTTTCTCTAGGGCACCATTTGTGTTGCCAGCTGAACCTAAAAACGTGTTGCATAGTGTTTGAAAGACTAATTATTTATATGCTTTATAGTGACTGTAGGAAAAATATAATGTGTAACACGAGTGAAAAAGGCCTTTGCTGCACTCGAGATCATTCCACACTCGCCTGCGGCTCGTGCGTAAACATTGCTCTCGTGTGCAGCAAAGTGCCACTTTCACCACTAGTTACACAAATAACTATTATAGCATACAAAGGATGCGCCAATAACAACTCTTGCAGTTTCCGCTTAAACTGACGAGTCTCCAGGTTTCGTGCTGAATAAGGCAATGCATTAAATAGATTTATCTATACTATTATAAAGATGAGGTGGTGTCTGTGTGTGTGTGTGTGTGTGTTTGTATGAGATAATCTCAAAAACTACTGAACCGACTGGGCTCAAACTGCACACAATTGAAGCTACAGCTCCGAGGATACATATAGAACTATTCCCGCCTCGATATAGTCCTAGGGCTCTGCCCCGTGGGCTTTCAAAAATTTGAGGTGAGAGATTTAAAAGTAAATATTGATTGGTGGTATCCATGGTAACAAAGAACAAACCTATAAAGTTTTAAAATGTAAACAAGCAGAACTAACTGTCAGATGAATTTTGATTTCACAATTCGACACAGCTGGTTCAAACATATTAAATACTGCACGAATATTAGAACAGAGAGGGTAAGAATTATAAATTTAAAATAATGAAGTCACTAGGCCGAATGTAAACATTATTTCAAATGAATTAAATGGAGCTGTCAAACCATATGTTAATGTAATTTCATTAGTAGGATTCTTTTAGTTACTTCATTTGTTTACGTTTATGATCTATTATACTGAGTCTGTTCTAATATTTGTGAAATGTAGTAATACATTTTATAGGAAATAATTCATTGTAAAAGAAATCATAACAAAGAACAAACCTATAAAGTTTTAAAATGTAAACAAGCAGAACTAACTGTCAGATGAATTTTGATTTCACAATTCGACACAGCTGGTTCAAACATATTAAATACTGCACGTGAGTTTTTCTAAGTCTAACATAAGGTATATCAATTAGATGTTTATTTCTTGTGTCATGCTCATGCACCTCGGCTCTACGAAAGCTGTGTTACAGGTCTATCAAAATATTGACTCAGCTTTAAATGTACAGACGTAGATTTTCAATTCATATTGTTTTGGTTTTCAATTCTGTATGTTTTACTTTCAAAATTTTATAGAATTTTATATTTATAAATTTAAATCAATAAAGTGCGAATTAATGAGCTTATGTCACCTGTCTGCCATGTTATCTTATGGGACGTCTGACACTTAACAACCCTACTTGCGACATTGCCAATTCTACCAGGCCGCGGCCTGGAGTTAAAGTTGCCGTGAGCCATCCATGCTAACACATGACAATATTGTCAATTCATTTTTGTAATATCCAATGACAAATAATTCTGATTTGGTTTGTAATTTGAATGCCGTAGGCCTAATACACACACTAGTAGGTTTATGTCGCTATGGGATAAAAAAAAATATTTGGGAAGAATGTGATATCATAGACTAAGGAGTATGTTTTATCTATGGTGATATTTTATTGATAGTACTGGGGGACTGAGCTATAAATTAATTTCAACTAATTTCGGCCTTTATTATTTTAGTTTCAGTGGAATTTCAATTAATTGTGATGGAAATTTTAACCTGGCAATCCAACACATTAGTTTATTTTAATCATACACATTTATTACGTTGTCAATAAATAAAACAAATGTAAAAAAAATAAAAGAAGTATTTTTTATATTAGTTCCTATAATAAGAATTAATCCGGAGTACAATCACAGGTTAATACATTAGTAGCAATCAGCTACAATAGCATTACCCATTAATACAGCATAGAACAGCAAGGGGTGTGATTTATTTCTTGGTACTAAATTAAATCTTTCTTTAAGTATAAGATAGTCAAAGGTATAAGCATTGACTATTGGATGCTGAAGTCAAATATATATATATACACATATATAATAGTCAAAGGTATAAGTAAAACTTCAGCATGAGTATACCATATACTTCAATGAAGTGTACTCTCTAAAATACTATCATGTAATGGATTAGCTGAAGAAAGCTGTCCGATTCAAGTGTATATTGCTTACTATAAAGATTGTTGTAATACAATCCTTATATATAATACGTGAAGGTGATTTCTATAAAACACTACTCCTCCGTTAATAATGGACGGATTTTTACAAACGACGTGTCAAAGTAAAGTATTTTTTGTGTAGACGC